CCTTCATAGCTGACCACCTCTTAAGTTGACCTAATTTTCATTAACTGGACATGCCCCACATGTACATATTACTACAGCAGGCCTAGTTCCTTATGTTAACCACCTCTGTATGTGGACTAGTTTGTTGCAGTCCCCTGGGTGATCAACTTACACAAGTTCCTATTCCACAGGTGGCCTTTTCATTGTTTCCTTTGCTATACAAGTTTTAGATTTAATTTTTTAGATTGATGCAATTGCTTTCATTTATTTTTGCTTTTGTTTGGGCTTCGAGTGTCATATTCATAAAAATCATTGCCAACACCAATGTCAAGGAGCTTTCTCCCTATGTTTTCCTCTAAAAGTTATACAATTTTAGGTTTTACATTTAAGCCTTTACTTCATTTCTGGTTAATACTATGTGTGATACAAGAGTGCAACTTCATTCTTTTGCATGTGGATATACCATTTTCCCAACACTGTTTAATGAGACAATCCTTTCCCCATTGTGTGCTTGGTACCCTTATCCTTAAAGACTAGATGGCAGGGTAAATTTATATATGCATACTACTCTTTATTCTGTCCCATTGGTCTACGTGTGTTTTTATACTGGCAGCAAACATTTTGACTACTATAGCTGTATAATACAGTTTGAAACATATTTGTGGCTCATACATGTAATCCTAGCTCTTTAGGAGGCGAGGGTGAGAGGACTCCTAAAGGCCAAGATTTTAAGAACAGTCCAAGCAAGAATGAGAACCAACAACACCCCATCTCTACAAAAAGTGCAAACATTAGGTCAGCATGGTGGTGCACACCCATAGTCCCAGCTACTAGGGAGGCTGAGGCAAGAAGACTGCTTGAGTCTAGGTGTTTGAGATTGCAGTGAGCTATAATGACACCACCGCACTCTTGCCCAAGTGACAGAGTAAGATCCTAATCTCAACAAACAAAAAAAGACTTAAACTTCTAATGTTAACTGCATTGGCAACCTGGAAAACAACTATTTACAACCTGCTCTATCTGTAGATTTTGTGTGTACATGTTAATAAAGGCATCTTCTGATCACTTACTCCTAAAGCCAGTGATATTTCTGAAGGGTACTTTTCTAAGACAGAAACGATTTAAACAGAGTACAGGACAGCACAATTATTTCCTTTCCTTTGCAATCCACATTTAGAATATTCTTTAAATTTTTTTTATATTTGGCCAGGCACAGTGCCTCACACCTTTAATCTTAGCACTCTGGGAGGCCAAAGCAGGTGGACTGCCTGAGCTCAGGAGTTCAATCAAGATCAGCCAGAGTAAGACCTTGTCTCTAAAAATAGCCAAGGATTGTGGCAGGTGCCTGTAGTTCAGGTACTCGGGAGGCTGAAGCAAGAGGATCTCTTGAGCCCAAGAACATGAAGTTGCTGTAAGCTATAATGCCACAGCACTCCACCAAGGGCAACAAAGTGTGACTCTGTCCCAAATAAACTTTTTTTTAGATTCATGGCATAAAACTACTTAACAACACTGAGCAAAAACACTTATTACATAAGATCCATTTTTTTTGTTTGTTTTATAGGCAAAAATTACATTTCCACATAATGAGTGTTGGGTTAGTTAACTCAAGCTAGTAGCTAACACATGATGCTATAATAAAGCTAAATTAGGGCAGCCCCTGTGGCTCAGCGAAGGGCGCCAGCTCCATATACGAGGGTGGTGGGGTCAAACCCGGCCTCAGCCAAACTGCAACAACAACAACAAAATAAATAAAGGTAAATTAACCATCTGATCACTGATCCTGTCAATTAACTTTCATCTATTGCAGGGTCACAGGCAGCATCAAAACCTTGCTGGTCAGTGCTTTATTCGCAAGGAAAGCCAGCCAAATGTACAGCTGAATCAGCACAAATCCACTATCAATATATTCTATGTATCAACTTTACAACAAATCATGTAAGAGCTCTCATCCAGGGAGAGTGCACTAATAACATATCCATTAGATACTAAAAAAGATAATAATCTAAGAGGTAAAAGTGTAAAATCTAATTCAGATGCTAAATTGAGGAAATAAGATACTTTTAAATCCATTTTTTTTCTTTTTTGAAACAGAGTCTCACTTTGTCACCCTCCATAGAGTGTTGTGGCATCACAGCACACAGCAACCTCAAACTCTGGGGCTTAAGCGATTCTCTTGCCTCAGCCACCCCAGTAGCTGGGACTACAAGTGCCGGCCACAATGCCCAGCTATTTTTGTTGTTGTTGTCATTGTTGGTTAGCAGGCCCGGGCCAGGTTCCAACCACCAGTCCCAGTGCATGTGGCTGGTGCCCTAACCACTGAACTATGGGACAAAGTCTCACTTTGTAGCCCTTAGGACAGGGCCATGGCATCACAGCTCACAGCAACCTCAAACTCTTGGGCTCAAATAACCCTGGTGCCTCAACCTCCTGAGAAGCTGGGACCACAGGTACTCACCACAACACCTGACTATTTTTAGAGACAAGAGCTCACTCTGCCTCAGGCTGGTCTCAAACCTGTGGGCTTAAGCAATCCATCCGCCTTAGCCTCCCAAAGTGCTAGGATTATAGGCACGAGCCATTGTGCCCAGCCAAATCCATTTCTTTTTTTTTTTTTTTTT